TTCTGGCTAGAACCGGGTTCACATGTCATCCCGGAGTAATTCCTAGCTCTGGGATTTTGGCAAATTGCCTTTGGAGCCTCAGTTTCCTCATCTGTAGAATGGGGAGAATCATAGGACCGCCTAGGGCTGTTGGAGGGATGATCTGCATTCATGTCTGGAGAGCACTAGGCAGAATGTCTGGCACATAATGAATGACAGCTATAACTGTCCATGTTATTTGATGCTTGATGCTCCTTTCCATTCCGGGCCTTAGGATCTGTTGCTGTGTAGGTCAAGCTCTCCAAGGAGGATTAAATAAAGCACCTTTTCCTTGAACCCCTTCGCATCTATTTATTTATTTAGTTTTAGAGACTGAGTCTTGCTCTGTTGCCCAAGTTGGAGTGCAGTGGCACAATTGTAGCTCACTTCAGTCTTAAAGTCAAGCGATCCTCCGACCTCAACTTCCTGAGTAGCTGGGACTACAGGTGCTCGCCTCTACACCCAGCTAATTTTTTAATTTTTTGTTGAGGCGAGATCTCGCTGTGTTGCCCAGGCTGGTCTCAAACTCCTGGTCTCAAGTGATCTTCCTGCCTCAGCCTCCCAAGTAGCTAGGACTTTAGGTGCACCCTACCACCCACTTCTCATCTAGACGGTCTCCTTCCAGGGATCTCCACCTGTCAAGGTTTTGGAGAGTTTTGTGTTCTGGTAGGACAAATGCTGACTTTAAGTGTGCCAGGGCAGGCTGGACACGGTTAATCAATCCTGTATTCCCAGCACTTTGGGTGGCCAACGCTGGCAGGTCACTTGGGTCCAGGAGTTCCAGACCAGCCCAGGGAACATGGCAAGACCTTGTCTCTACTAAAAGTACAAAAATTAGCTGGGCGTGGTGGTGCATGCCTGTGGTTCCAGCTACTCGGGAGGCTGAGGCACGAGAATTGCTTGAGCCTGGGAGGTGGAGGTTGCAGTGAGCCAAGATCGTGCCACTGTACTCCAGCCTGGGCGGCATTGCGAAATCCTGCCTCAAAAAAAAAAAAAAAAAGTCCACGGCAGTTTCTGGGGACAATAAGCCTGGCATGGGCTGGGAAGGACATTGTGCTTTCCTCTTGCGGGGAGGCACTACATCCTTTAATATGGTACTTAGTAGATGAGGAATCCTAGACCTTTAACATAATCATAGTCTTTAATATCTGTTCTGCTTACCATGTGCCGGGTATTGTGCTAAGTCCCAGCCCTAGTCATCTATAGAACTCAGGGTCCAGAGCCAGACTGCCTGAGTTAAAATCCTGCCTCTGCCACTTTCTTGCTGTGTGCCCTTGGGCCAAGTTACTTAACCTCTCTGTGCTTCAAATGACTCATCTGTAAACTGGGATGATTCTAGTAGTACCTAACTCATAGGGTTGCTGTGAGGATTAAGTACAACCCACACATAGATGGTGATAGTTCGAACAATGTAGTGATAAATGTTGGCCACTTATATATTATAATGACTTCCATTTTATAGCTGAGGAAACTGAGGCAGGCTCAGGGAAATTCATAACCCATCCAATGACACAGAGCTATCCTTTCTATTCCAGTGTCTGCTCATTGATTTTCATTTCCTTCTTAATTCATGCCCCCCTCATTGTACCCCCTAATTCAATCATCAGCCTCTATCTAGGGTCCCTGCTTCCTGTGTCTGGGGCTCCCAGCATCTGCTGCTTCCAGAAGGTTCTCCCTCTTCCTCACTTCCCAAACTTGAGGGGCTCCCCAGTGACCTTGGAAATAGATCTTTTTCTTTTACTGTTCCTGTTGTTTTCTCCAATTACTAACACAATACACATGCAAGTTATTTTAAAATTGTATTTATAAAAATATTTGCATAGAAGGTGAAAAACTCTGCTAATTTACCCCCTGGTGATAACTGCTGCTTGGAGTTTCATGTGTGTTACTCCAGATTTCTCCCTCTCCTCCTGGGTGTAATAATAGAGATTATTTCTACTTATCTTTTAAAAAGATGGGACCATGCTATTCATACTGCATGCAATTCACAGGAGACAATTTTCAAGATTTAACTTATTTTTTTGAAAAAGTTACACTGCCACATGGTATAAAACCCCAAAGAGACCAGGAACAGTGACTTGTAATTCCAGAGCCTTGGGAGGCTGAGGCCAGAGGATCGCTTGAGGCCTGGAGTTCGAGACGAGCCTAGGCAACATAGGGAGACCCCCCATCTCGACAAAAAAGAGAAATTAGGTGGGCATAGTGGTGAGTTCCTGTAGTCCTGGCTGCTCAGGAGGCTGAGGCAAGAGGATCGCTTGAGCCTAGCCTGGGTGACAAAGCAAGACTCTGTCTCTAAAAAAGAAAAATGGAAAAAATCCAAAAGATGTCTAAGCAAATATTGAAAAGTATCTCCCTCCATGTCTGTCTCCAGCCACCCAGTTTCTCACTCTGGAAGCAACCAGTATTGCCAACTTACAGTCTACCTGTAGACGAGAAACGTATAATTACAGTTTATAGGGCATATATGTGTCATAAACCGAAATATGTAAAACTATAGTATAGTTTCTAGAAGAGGAGAAACAGAGGGGAGAAAACTCTATTAGAGAAAATGTTGAGTTGCTGATTTCCTTGTCCCATGCAATGGAGAGCGAGGAGACGCTTCAAAGTCCATGGAACTTGGTAACATTTAGCGCAGTGGTTCTCAGGTGGAGGCAGTTTTACCTCCCAGGGGATATTTGTCCATTCCTGAAGACATTTTTGGTTGTCATAGCTTGCAGATGGGGTGGGGTTGGGGTGTCCTGCTGGCATCTAATAGATGGAAGCCGGGCGTACTGCTAAACATCCTACAATGCACAGAACAGTCCCCCCAGCTCCCGACAACAGGCAGTTGTCTGGCCCCAAATGACAACACTGCTGAGGTTAAGAAATCCTGACTTATAGCTATAAAAAAATCAAAATTACTGCTTTGACTTCTTGCCTGGAGCTTGTTCGGCTCAGCTCCACGATGATTGGCAGGCAGAACCCCACGATCCAGGTGTTCCTAGAGTCAAATGCTGCCAGGTACTGTCCTTTCACCCAAGTAATGACAGCTCTTGAGGCAAATCAAACTATCTTCTTGGAAACTACCACCCTCCTCCTCTCATTTCCTCTGATGACACAATTTATAACTCAAATCTCTTCCACAGGAGAAAATTCCATTTCTCCATTGGAAAGCCACTGCTTTGCATTTCGTGCTAATACATCAAAGATTGGGGCTGGGTGCAGTGGCTCATGCCTGTAATCCCAGCACCTTGGGAAGCCAAGGGGGGATAATCACTTAAGCCCAGTAGTTTGAGACCAGCCTGGGCAACGTAGAGAGACCCCATATCTACAAAAATTAAAAATGTTAGCCAAATGTGGTGGTACATACCTGTAGTCTCATCTCCTTGGGAGGCTGAGTGAGGCAGGAGGATCGCTTGCGCCCAAGAGTCAGAGGCTGCAGTGAGCTGTGATTGTACCACCGCATTTCAGCCTTGATTGACAAAGCAAGAGCCTGTCTCAAAAAAAAAAAAAAAAGGAACAGTAACTATAGACCCCAATTCTTTTTGTGAATTATAGAACTATGACATTCTTTTTTTCTTTTAAATGATACTCCCCCAAATGCAAGCGCCACAGGAAACGGATCTTGTTTGTTTTGGCATTTGTAAAAATACAGAAATTTGATGCAGCCTTGGATTGTCTACTTCCTTCTTTATTTCTGTATGAATATAAAATTTTCTTCTCAGAGAAAACCCGTTGTGATGGATTAGCATCCCATCTGCTGGGGTTTATCCCTGGGAATCTGAGTCTTAGGTGGCTAGAAATAATCTTAGTCCGAACTTTCTCAAATGTTAACTGCTGTAGCTCTTCTCAACACTAGGAGGAGGGAGCATAGATAGTTCCCACTTTGTAGGTTAATGGGGAGGAAATTGAGGCTCAGAGGAGTTGAGACATTACAGTCTCAGAGTGCCAGAGTCAGCACTGGAATTCGAGTCAACTGTCTTGAAATGTGGGCTGGTTTTATACTGCCTGCCCTTTGTTTCCAGAAGGGACACGCCATTGGTGATCATAATGACAGAGTTAAATCTGTATGGTCCGCATATTGCCAAAGGGGATGTATCTATAGAAAAATGTGGCCAGGCGGCCAGACACAGTGGCTCATGCCTGTAATCTCAGCACTTTGGCAGGCGGAGGCAGGTGGATTACCTGAGGTTGGGAGTTCAAGACCAGCCTGGCCAACATGGTGAAATCCCATCTCTACTAAAAATACAAAAATTAGGCGGGTGTAGTGGCAACACCTGTAATCCCAGCTACTTGGGAGGCTGAGGCAGGAGAATCACTTGAGCCCTGGAGGCGGAGGTTGCAGTGAGCCCAGGTGGCGCCATTGCACTCCAGCCTGGGCGACAGAGTGAGACTCTGTCTCCAAAAAAAGAAAGAAAAAGCAAAAGAAAAATGTGGCCAGGTCAGGTGGGGTGGTTTACACCTGTAATCCCAGCGGTTTTGGAGACCGAGATGGGTGGTGGATCACTTGAGCTCAGGAGTTTAAGACCAGCCTGGGCAACACAACAAAACCTCAACTCTTCAAAAAATGCAAAAACTTAGTCAGGCATGGTGGCTCTTACCTGTGATTCCAGCTACTTGGGAGGCTGAGGCAGGAGGATCCCTTGAGCCCAGGAGGCAGAGGTTGCAATGAGCTGAGATCGTGGCACTGCACTCTGCACTCTAGCCTAGGTGACAGAGGCCAACTCTGTCTCAAAAAAAAAAAAAGGAGCCAGTGCCTGGGGGTGTCTAGTGGAGCATCACGTTCTGTTCTTTGTTGGATTAATGAATTCAGGTAATCTCTTCCCACACCACTTCACTCTCTAGGGTTAAAAAAAAGCCACACAAAATGCAACAATTTACTTCCTTATGGTGTCCAAGAAATAAAATAACCTCTAGAAAGGACTTTGATATTTTTATTGAGCTGATATTACAATAATGTTAATGAGAGGGGGAAGTGAGGGCTTAGGAAGAAGGAAATGCACAACTTGGGACCTGAGTGAGGTCTTCATTGTTGCAGACTCTGTGGACAGAGGCCATAGGTGCAGCTGTGATGTCAGAGGTGGGAGACTGATTTGCATTTTCAGCAGGTGAGACCTGGTTATTCATTGGTTGGTGAGGAAAGAGATGATAGCCAGGGTGGCGTAAAACGGCAGTGAGCTCAGTAAACAACCCCCTCCCCGTGGTCTTGGTGGCATCCCGCCCAGCCGTGTGACCAAGACAGCAAGGAGCAGCCTTTAAGGCAACACGGCAGAGTGGCAGAAAAAGATGGGCCTTACCGGTTAGTTAAGAAGAAAAGAGGACCTGGTGCCTGTCCCTCTAGCTTTGAACTACAAAGTAGAGGGGAATTTTATCTGGATTTTCCTGCAGAACTGAGGGCAGGTAAGAGAAGGTGCTTTGAAGCAGGGGTGGGAGGTCACGGGAATAATGGGGAACGCTTGGGAACGTGTCAGGGAAGGAGGACAGAAACTGAGGCTGTCCTATTGCTTATTGCCAGACAAGGGCACAGATTTGAGACACAACAGATATTTGTTAGAGGAAAGAATGACCATGGGGGAAATGGGAGGCAACAGAGTGTTGATGATGAGAACAAGCCCTAGGGTTGTCTGCTTGAGTTGGAATCTGGGCTTCCCCAGGTCTAACTGTGGGATTCTGGGTCAGTTATGGTATGTTTCTGGCCTTGGTTTCCTTGTCTGTATAATGGGTAGTGTGCCAAAAAGCTCCCACTTCCACAGGTGGATATCAGAGCTAATAAGAAAATACGGTACACGACAAATATGCCATAAATGTGACCTGTATGTTTGGGGGTGTCTACTGGAGCATCATGTTCTAGAAGAATGCTTTGCTGGATGAGTGAATTCACATGGCCTCTCCCATTGCTACTTCATTCTCTGGGGTTTAAAAACAATCTATTTACTTCTTTATGGTGTTCAAGAAACAATAATTTCTCATTTTTCTCATGCTTCTCATTTTTCTCATCCTTCTCTTCTTCCTCTGATAAGTGATTTTTGTGTTGCTTTTTGTTTTTTGTTTGTTTTTGTTTGTTTGTTTTGAGACAGTATCTCACTCTGTTGCCCAGGCTGGAGTGCAGTGGTGAAATGCTAGCTCACTGCAGCCTTGATCTCCCGGGCTCAAACAATCCTCCTGCTTCAGCCTCCTAAGTAACTGAGACTACAGGCACATGCCACCATGCCCGCCTACCTTTTATGATTTTTAGTAGAGACAAGTTCTCACTATATTGCCTAGGATGGTCTCAAACTCCTAAGCTCAAGCAGTCCTCCTGCCTCAACCTCCCAAAGTGCTGGCATTACAGGAATGAGCCACCATGCACTGCTAACAATGATGTTGTTGATGATGATGATCCAAGCCCAGCATATGCAATCAGAGAGGTATGGGTTTGAATCTCATTCTGCCTCTGTTTAGCTGTGTGACCTCGAGTGAGTTAATTAACCTCTCTGGATCTCAATGTAATCATAAAATTGGGATAATAATACCTCCCCATAAAGTTGTTTGAGCATTCAGTTGCTAATACATGTGAAGGGCATAGCCCTGGGCCTGGCCTGCATATCAGCACTCAATAAACAGTGCTGTCCACATGCTTGTTACTGTTGTTGTTATTATTATTAACTTATTATTATTATTGTTATTGTTTGACTAGATTCTTTCTACCCTAGAGAGGGGAAGAGAAGCTCAGTGGAAATGAATGCTAAAAGTAGGGTTTATTGTCATATTTTGCCAGGAAAGTCCTGTTCCCAGAAGACAGGGTCAAGTTCAAGCTATAGAACATCTTCATAAACACTTAATTAATAACCTCAGTGAATCATATTTGCCAAGATTTTTCAGGATGACGTGGCAGGAGGTGATACTATTATTGCTCAGGTTATTTCCAGTCACCTAACGTTCATCGTTCCCAGAGATAAATCACAGCTGCTAGAATGCTAATCATCAGAGATGGTCATTTCTGTGAAGGCATTCATAGGGAAAAGAATATTTATAGGGAGTGTAGTGGTATGATCATAGCTCGTTGCAGCCTTGAACTTCTGGGCTTGAGTGATCCTTCTGCCTTAGCCTCCTAAGTAGCTGGGACTACAGGTGTGCACCATCACGAACGATTAAAAATCAACTAATTGCCGGGCGCGGTGGCTTACGCCTGTAATCCCAGCA